GCTGTGGCACGCGAGGCCACTCCTCGAACGCCCCGCTCCCTCACCGATGAGTCTCGGGTCGTCCGCTTCCCCAGACGTCCGCCGTCGTGATGTTGTTGCAGCGTGGCTCCCTAGAGGTGTGGGGTCCCACCCTGGGGATCGGGGCCCAGTATGAGGGCGTCGGGAGGCCGGAAATTGCCCCAAACCGTCAGCACAGAGGGTTTTCGGCCTTTCCCGCCATTTGTGCACAGGGTTTTTTGGCAACTTGGTTTATCGCCCCGAGACATGGCGACGGCCAACAGTTGGTTTGAAATCGCAGCTAACAATTCTGTCTGAGACAGCAAACAGAGCACGTGACGATGTGATATTTCTGGCACGTTCCTCATCTGAGAGCTGCGGCGCTGTCCGCCCACTCTGGCCAGGAGCGCGCTTCGGCGCGATGCTGGTGTCTGCCTACCTGTCTGTCCGCCTACCTGACTGTTTGACATCCTCTCGCTGGAAGGAGAAGGCGTCGATCCTCGTCACAACGAGAGGACGTGTCAGGGCCCGCCGACAAGTCTCGAGCCGTCCGCGTCCGCCGCGGCTTCTCGGCGAACCCCCGCCCCCCTTCGGGAGACTCCGGGCCGCCCCCGCCACGCCCTGGCGGGACGTCGGATACGCGTAAGATTGGCCCTTCTCCGGTATGACTTCTGGCTTTGGTGCGGGTGCGCAGGGCCCCCCTCCAGGACTGGCCTGCGCGCTTAGATCGGCCCCCCCGCGCGACCCACTACAGAGCCGCGCGCCAGAGGTCACTCTAACCCAGGGCCACTCCTGCGTGTAGCCGAGAGCGATGTCGCAGGACCTGGCCGGCCAGGTCGTCCACCCGGCCGTGCCGAACGGGGACCAGCGCGCCCAGGCGGCGAGCCCCAAGGATCGTCAGAGGTCGTCCTCGGGAGGTGTTCGTGAGATTCTCTGAGGTTTTCGCGGCCCGAGGCGGTTCCACCATCAGCTGCGCCTCGTCGCAGGCGTTCTGGAGATGCCGGGATTGTCCCGAGCGGCCGCCTGAGGCCCGAGTTGAGTTGTCGCCCGAAAGCAGTCGGAGGAGAGCCAGGCGAGACAACGCGGCGGCGCTCTCCGGCGTGTTCCGCCCGTCTTGGGCCTCCTGGAGGCTGCTCGTCGCCGTAGCTGGAGCCGCTTCGCAAACACGGCTCCGGATGGACCCGTGGAGGGGTCCGGGGACAGGGTTTGAGCGGACTGTGGGCCGGGCGGGAGGGCCGCCGCTGTCTAGCAGCATCGAGACCGAGGGAATTTCACATATTTGCAGTGCTCGGCCCTTGGGGGGCCTGACAGGGCTCCGAGACCAAAGGACGACTCGGGATGAACAAGACGGCTTGGGGTCCACGTTGTGACATGTTTCTGGCGATGGGCCCGACCAGATGTAGCTGTGAGTGCCGCGCAGTTGTGAGTATCGCTTCGGTGGAGCTCCCTGTGGGGTCACGGAACTTGTGAGGTGTGTGGCGAAATGGGTGGCGAAACGCATGTGGCCAGCGCCACTAGGGCCTTAGGTCGAGTCGAGAAGCCATGCGCCGCTTGGCGCGTGGGCAGGAAAAGAGCGCATGCCAATGAAGAGGAAGAGGGGGCGCATCACGATTGTGACGCAGAAAACAAGGCGCAGCACGACTGAAGCAGAAAACTAAGCGCCCCACGCCTGTGAAGCAGAGAAGACTGAGGAACGGAGGGGGGCGAGGAAGCACAACAGGAAATCGCCCTCACGAGTGCCGAAAGCGAACTCAGCACAGAACTTTCGCCACTTTATCTGCTCCTGTGCGGCCTCGTGCGAGCATTGGTCAGAAGCGAAACGACACCGGATTTTGCGATAAAGTTCGTTTGCCCAGTCATGTCTGGGTCTCCCAATTGGTCGTTTACACAAGACGGTCGCCGTTCGGGGGCTGCTTGAAAAGTGACTTGTCGTAAAGCATCTGTGTCATGTGATCGGAACATTTTCCAAATAATACCAAGTGCTGTCGTAGTAATTGTGATGAGTATGATTCTTTAGGCTTACGCCACACCGCCGACCCCTTGTTTTTTTTTAGGCAATCTTGGACGTCTTGGGGGCGTCATGGCCCGACTTTATCCCCCGAACCAGTACGACTCGAAAGATGCGGGGGAGAGGCTTTGCAGGGCGTGCGCCCGCAACGAGAAGGGTGGGCGGAACGAGAAGGCGGATGCAGAGAATCGCAAGCGGAAAGCAGAGGCGGACGCGAAGCCGCTGACGTGCGCGGCGTGCAAAGGCGCGTTCTCGGACACGAAACATTTGAAGCAGAAGCAAGTGGAACATCATCGAGCGGCGACAGGAGCTAAAGTGGTGTGCAGAAGCTGCGAGGATGTCGGGTTCACAGCGCGCAGTTGCCAGGCTTATCACTGCAGCGGCGCGTGCAAGAGAGGACTACCAAAGTCGGCGTTCCCCGACCCGCACAATGTCTCGCGCGACGCAAAGAAGGGCACCCTAAAGTGCAAGACGTGCAAATGATGCCCATTCGGTTGCGCGTACTGGGCAGAAAAGGGAGGACGGGAAGAGGAGGATGGGGGGTGAGGCGGAAAATGGGGGGGGAGAAGCATCGGTGAGGATGAGCTGACGCGGGGCAGGAAGAGGAGGAGGGGAACGAGGAGGAAGTGCAGGAGGAGGAGGAAGAGGAGGAGGAGGGGGACACTGAGATAAGGCTCCGGGTTATGGGGCTGGGCGCGACTCGAAAAACCGGTGTGTTCGGAGATGTCCGTTGGGATCTTGCGGGGGGGCTTCTTGCGGGCCTCTTGGAGCAGTTTCGAAGGCTCTTGGGGGCCGTTTTGGGGCCTCTTTGTGGCTTCTTGGGCGCCTCTTGGAACGTCTTGGGGGCCTCTTGGGGGGTTCTTGGGGCCTCTTTGGGGCCTCTTGGGGCCTCCTGGGGGCCTCTTGGGGCGTAAGGCTGGGTTTTCCGGTGCGTGGTCTCTCTCTGGAGCCCCTCTTGGGCCCGTCTCCGGGAGATTCTTGGGCCGTCTTGGGCGGCTCTTGGGCCGTCTGGGGGCTCTCTTGGGCCGCCTTGGGCGGCTCTTGGGCCGTCTGGGGGCTCTCCTGGGCCGTCTTGGGGGCGTCGTGGAGGCCTCTTGTGCCGTCTTGGAGCAGTCTTGGGAGCTTCTTGGGCTGTCTTGGAGCGTCGGAAGGCCGAAAAGGCGAAAATGACGAAAACATCAAACAAACCAATGAACATCAACGATTTGGGCCTCTTGGGGCGCTCCTCGGGGGCCTCTTGGAGGTCTCTTGGGGCGTCTTGGAGGTCTCTTCGGGCGTCTTGGAGCCCTCGTGGGGCGTCTTGGAAGCCTCTTGGGGCCTCTTGGGCGCTTCTTAGGGCGTCTAGGCGGTCTCTTGGGGCGTCTGGGGGCCTCTTGGAACGTCTGGGAGGCCTCTTGGGGCCTTCTTGGCCCGTATTTGGGCCCTTTTGGGCCCGGAAGAGCGTCGTGAGTCGCTCGTCGTCGGCACCCCCCCCCCCCCTCCAAATCGACCGGACCGGGTTCCCGGGGGAGGGGTTTGGGGAGGGGGAAGCATCTCACACGCCGATGACCCAAGGGGTCGGCGGATTTTTGACTGGATCTTTAGAGGACGCTTGTATTTGATATTCTAGATATGTAGGGGTGCGCAATGCCCCAAACAAGCCTCAAGCAACGGGCTTGGAACCCATCAATCCTCCTGCTCCTCTCTGCTTTGCAAAGCCACGCCGAACTGAAATAGTATAATATGTTGCTTGTGACGAGAGCAGAGAACTCTTCCAGCTAACGCTTTTTGCTCACCGCAGTGTGTTTCCACGCATGCGCGTATCTTCGAAATGCTCCCCATGCTGCGCCCAATCTCCGCCCCGGCTCTGGTTTGATGTCCCCGCTGTCGTAAAGAGTGGCCCCCAAACGTTCATGTGAGACTAGCGCGATGATTTTCCCAGCGGGGTCTGTGATATGCGTTTGAGAATTGATTTGCAATAGTTGAAATTTATACTTGAGCAGCTCCATTCCCGTATTTGCGCCTGCCTTTGCAATTTCGTTCAGAAGTTGTTGTACATGGAGTTTGTTGCGTCCAACCAACACTGCATCGTCTGCATATAAAAGAACTGATAGGTCCCCACAATCTGTTGAACGTCGAGTATCAGTGTCCATTTTCTTCCCCACGTCTTTGACCAATACCGACATAACCACTACAAACAAAAACGGCGACAATGGGCACCCTTGTGAAATCCCCGACTTCTGCTCCCTGTCCCCTGACCTCCGGCTCCCATCTGCGACGCGACGCAAGTGTGGCGAGAACCGTATCTGTTACCAATTAGCTGCAGCAGGTGCGGCGGCACGCCGAAAGTCGTGAGTGCATCGAGAAGGGCGTCCACGTTTATCGAGTCGAATGCCTTTTTCCAATCTAAAGCCAACAATGCAACTTTGCCCCCGCGTATGGGGCGCGCTAGCTCAATATGTTTGCGCGCTGCGTGAACGGCGTCGGTCGTACCGCTTTTTCGCCTGTATCCGTACTGTGTCCCAGTTAGTTTGTCTTCGGCCCCTTCTTCATGGAGCCTCGTCAATAACAAGCTTGCGAACAACTTGTACATCACAGATAATGGCTGATTGGGCGAAAACTGTCGCACTGGTCCACGGGGCCTTTGTTCTTGTATATGGTCGCCACCACTGCGTGCCGCCATCTCCAGCCCTTTCGGGTCCTCACCGAGGGTTTTCCAATATTTTGGCGAAATGTCGTCTGGTCCAGGTGCTTTCCCTTTCTTTGATTCAGAAGTTGCATTTCGCACCTCTTGCATTGAGAAATCGTTGTCTGAAATAAGCAATGGTGGTCCCAGTGGCTCACGCGGAATGAGCGTCGCAGGTCGCACTTTCCACTGCACTTTCTCGAAGTATTCCGCCAATGTATCTGGTTTCTCTGTGCTTTCAACAATTTCGCTGTCCAAATTCTTGATCCTTCCCTGCCTGCGCGGCTTTGGCAGGCAAACTCGCTTAAGTAAGGCCCAACTCCCATCGGCGATTTGCTGGTCCATCCAAGCTGTTTTTATCTTGCTTCACTGATGTCCTTGCTTGTTTGAGTAGCGACCTTTCTGCCATCGCATTATGAGAAGATCGTGCCAAACTTCTCTGATCTATCAAATCCCAAGTCTTCAGAGAAACCCATGGCTGTTGTGTTTTCCGGCCCCTGTGGGGCAGAGCATGTTCAGCCTCAGCGACCGCACGTTTCATGTTCTCCCAAGTTTGTTGGGCAGTGTCGGCTGCACCCTCGCTGGAATTGAAAATGTTTGCGAAAGCTTCGCGGACATCTTTATGCTCGAGCGCAGTCTTGTCGTAACCGGAGGTCTGCTTGGTGGCAACAGGCGGAATTTCAATTCCCAGTGACCATGATACCAAGTAGTGGTCTGTAGCTAGCGCTGCTCGTCGGTGGCTGCTGAAGTCTTTCAATGATCCTATCCACCCAGGTTCGCATAAAACCCAATCCAAGATATTCTGAGATGCCGTTGTGATGGCAGCCAGTGGTAGCACCCCAGTTTCCCAGAAAGTAATTTTCATGTCCAAGCTCTGATGCATGAAGGTGTTTGTAATCACAAGTCCTGCGCCCATGCAGAATTCGAGTAGTAGTTCTCTGTTTGGTGATTCCACTGTGTACACTGCTTCCCTCCCCCAGCCATGCTCTCCAACATCTTCTCCGGGATGCGCCTGGCCAACGTTTGCGTTAAATTGTCCCTGAATGAGTTTTCTCTGGTTCGTTCGGCATGCTCTGAATTCTTTGTCCTGTACGTTGTACAACCCTGCACGTCCAGGCAAAGGTGTAAGATTATGTGGTGCGTATACATCAAATTTGCCCATCGTTGTTCCGTGCCATCGTAGTTGTTGAGTCTGCACAGTTTTTCTGACACTTGCTTTTACGATGCAATATGTCTGCGGACGTGCAGTGCGACGATGATCCCAACCCCTGCCCATGTGCGATCGTCTGTATAGTTACCAGAGAAAATGAATGTCGATTCATCTTGTTGGTACACATCGGCTTTAGACACCCTTGTTTCTGGAATACACAGCACACCAATATTGTAGTGCTGCATGTGCTTGATCAGCTCGATGCTCTTTATCTGTGTGAAGCCGCAGACATTCCAAGTAGCGCACTTGAGGAAAGTTGGCGAAGAAGAGATTGAAAAGGTAGTGGACGGTGTAACTTGTACTCGATCGTTGCCTGTCTGCTTCACGACTGGTCCGATGTTGGTAGTTTTCTCCAGCTCCGTATGCCAAACGTCTTTCAGTTTATGTCCATGAAGATGTTCATTTAACTGTTGGGGTTTCAGCGTCGACTGGGTGGTATCTTTGCCCAGCCCGGTTGGGGATTCATGTCTAGATATAATGTCTCCGTCGTTTACGCTGTTCCCGGCAACGGTAGCTTTGCCCATGTCCAGGTTGTTACGTGGAGAGTTGGTGTCTGTGTCCCCGTCCACGTCCAACTTCGCATGCCCATATCTCGAAGATCGGGACATCGCAACATAGCCAGGCGCTTGTTTTATGAATTGCGGTGTTTCGGCATCGGTCCCCTAGCAAACCAAAGCAGATGCCGCGTGTATGTCCTTGCTCGCCTTCCCTTTAGATTGCCCTTTCGCATCGCCTTTCATTCCTGCCCGGGAACGGCGGACTAGGGAGTTGCATGTTTTTCCCTTTAGTGTTGTAATTTTGGCATGGTTTTGCAAACCATGCCAATTCATCCACTCCTCCGCCCACTCCCGATGGACACCGTCGGAGCTCGCATGTACAGTAAGCGCCAATTGTCCTCCGACGTGTACTTGGTAGGGTGCATTGTCGGATACTTTATTGATGCATTCGCTCTGCATGTCGTCCTTGAGTAAGTATTTCGGCCCAAATGCGAAATTGCGGGCAGCTCTTTCGAAAGGCTCCCGATCTTGGGATGCCCATATTGTGGTAGCACCTCATTGTAAACGTGCGCTCCGAAAGAGTGCAACGGCCGTATCTCCTTCAAGCATGTCCCCGAGTTAGAAAAATATGATGTTTCGTAACTCGGCCTTAGGTGGAGCTCTTTATGGGGCCACGAAACGTGTGAGGGGTGTCCCGAAACTGGCGCACGTCCACATACGAGCGTCGCCACAGGGGGCCCGGATGTGCCCATAATCATTCACCGCCCGCTGGGGTCCGCGAAGATCGGCTCCCCAGGCGGTGGATCTGTACAAGTCCCGGGTCTCGCAGGGAGGGCATGAGGCAGGCAGGCGAGGAGATCCTGTCGCCCGATGTCGCATTTTTCGTGACACGCCCCCCGGGGATCTCGACCACTTCCCCAGGGCAGTTTTTTTCAGGAGCCAGGGGGCAGGAAGCAGCCTTCAGAGACGGGCACCCGGCCGCTCCCGCCCCCCGTGGGAGAGGTGGCCCAGCCGGACGATAACCCAGACGACCTGCGGTGGGTCATCCGCGGCGGCAGGGACCGCGCGAGGGCCGGCGCGGTGTACACGGTGAGGTTCGGGTGGATTTGGTCTTCGGAGCACGGCGACGCGCCAGCGACGGCGCCGAAGTCGGCGGCAGCGATCGGGCAGGCCTGTATAGTACGAGGATGAGTCGTTCGAGGGCGTGCCGAAACGCTGTCAGAGCGTTCCAGAGTTCAGAGGCAGCGTTCGGCGGGGATGCGTTTCCAGGCTCAGGGGGAGAACGTTGGAGTTTCCCGTTTTCGACACCCAGGGCAGTTTCCATCAGTTGAGCCTCGTCGAGGGCGATCTGCGGGCGCCGGACTCGTTCCGAACGGCCGCCGGGGAGCGGGGTTTCGATCTTAAAACCAAGGGGCAACGTTAGGGGGGATGTGCTCAGGGGGGAACGCATCGACCCCCGATCACCCGTTCGTCGCTAATCTCTTTTGCATGTCTCAATGTGTCTCGTTCATGTCTCGTGTTGTTATCTCGGCTTGTCTCTTTCGGCCCCTTGCGCGTCAGTTTTTATCTCTCGCGTGTCTCGTTCTGTCAGCGCCGTGTCGCCATGCGATGCTCACTCTGCATCGGCTTCGTTTCGCTTGTCTTGTGCGCCCCAGTGCTTCACGGTGTCGGGCGTCAAAACGTTGTTAGGCTTGTCTCGCCATGGTACCCCTTCTGTGTCATTGCGTCGATCGTCTCGCGTCGCGCGGTGGCGGCGTTCTTGCGGCGTCTCGCGAGACATGTTGTGCGGAATTGCACGGCGCGGCATTGTTGGGCGGCCCCACCGCGAAGCATGCATGAATCAGTCCTAGGCCGACAACCTTCACTCATACCAATACAACGACTGCGACTACAATTACTACTTCGTTTACGTCGATTGCATCTACAGCACACCGTCTGTGCTATGGTTGTTGTGTCTTCTATTTTATGTTACGACATGAACGACTACCCTGATAATTACTATTGTTACGACGACGTCATACGATGACGACAACTATGACAACTACGATTACTACTACGACAACTACTACGACTACTACTTCAATAGCAACCACTACTACTACGATTACGACGACGATTACTACTACTACCACTTGTACAACTACTATAACTACTACGACTTCTTCTTCTACGACTACTACTACTACTACTACTACTACTACTACCACCACTACTACTACTGCTACTACTACTACTACCATTACTACTCGTACTACTACGTTTGATACTTGCTGTATTACTGCTAGTAGCAACACCTCCGCTATGACTTCACGTCGGCGGCGACGACGACGACGATATACTATCACTACTAGTACTACTACTACCACTACTACTACTACTGCTACTACTACTACTACTACTACTACGACTACTACTACTACTACTATGACTATTACTACTACTACTACTACTACTACTACTACTACTACTGTTAGTATTCCCACTATTACTACTACTACTACTACTACTACTACTACCACTAATAATACTACTACTACAACTACTACTACTACTACTACTACTACTACTACTGCTACTACTACTATTACTACTACTACTATTACTACTACTACTACTACTACGACTACCGCTATGACTACTACTCCTGCGCGTATGTCGGCTACCCGTTGCTACTTTTTAACGTGGCCTGTGTGCAGGGTAGACGTAACAGGCAACGTCTAAAGGGGAACAGGTAACGGTTTCGGGTTCGGGCTCGGTCGATACATTCCCAGCACACATGCAATGCATATCAGTCCAAACACGGTGAATACGCAACACACATCCAACACACACCTGCAGTACATGTACAAAACCAATACATGTCAAACGCAATACCAACACCAATACGCTTACACCATGTATGATGTACAAAGACAACGCACCTACAATGTCAGCACAATCTAACTGCATCACAACAACCATGTTTGTCCGCTTCACGCGCCTGCTTCCTGATAGACCCGTCCTACAGCACATCCTACTGCCTACTGGAGCTTCCGCGCGCCAGTGACTGGAACTGGGGCTCCGTCGGGAATCCTCCAGGTTTCTGCTGGTATCCGCAAGAGGCCCGCAGGAATCGTCACGGATTCCTCAGGCTTCCCCCAGATGGTTCAAGATTTTTCAGAATTCCGTTGGAATTGCAAGATTCCTTCCCGATTTTGAATGGTCGTCAAATTCATCAAGGATTCCGCAGTTTCTCGTGCGATTCTGCGGGGTCTTCCAATATTTCTTTTGTTTCCTCATAATTCCTTACGGCCTCGTGAATATCCAATGGTTTTCGTCGGACTTACCAGATCCCCTAAAGATTTGTTTTTTCCGTGAGAATTATTCAGGATGTTTCGGAATCTTTAAGCTTGATCGCGAGTTTGGGATAGCTTTGGTTTGACGGCTGCCCCCGTTCTGTGGAATATCAAAGCGAGTAGTTCGGACATCGTTGATGGGTGGTTTTGGGGGAATACGCGAAGGTTGGAAAGTACCAGGGTGGACGGACGAGAAAATACTGCTGAGATTAAGGAAAACGTCGGATTCCTGACGGACCCTGTAGATTGTTCAGTAATCATGAATTAAACCTGAGAGCCCCAGAGGAATCCGCAGAAATCTTGTGGGGCGCCAAAGAGTCCAAGGGGTATTGCGAAATCCCTCAGCTCCTCCGGGAATTCTGAAGAATCGCATGAACCTATTAGAACCCCGAGGCATCCCGAGGCTCCCTGATTTGTCCTGAGGAGTCCTTTGGGCCTCCTGAAGCATCGAGAATGTTTCTGGAAGAAACCTGATCCGTGCAAAGAAGTCATCATGAATCCGATGGAATTCCTTATGAATATGGGTGCGTTTTTTTGGCGTTGGGACATCCAGAGTGGTCCGCAGGAGTCTTGAGGAGCCCTAAGGAATCCTGAGGAACCCAAAGGGATTCGGAGGAAGCCTGAAGAATCAGCTGTGATCCTGTGGCATCAAGAGGTACCTTGAGATGTCCGGAGGAAACCTTCGGAATCCGTGAGGAACCGTAAGGCATCAGTTTTCGGAAGCCCGGAGGAATCTTGATGAACGGAAGCCAAAGGATTCCTAAGGGATCATCCGGAGGATTCATCCGGAATCTTCCGAGTTCCTGAGGCATCCCGGGGATTCTTGAGAACCTTTTTGAGGAATCCAAATGAAATCCTGAGGACACAGCACGAATCCAGACAAGTTTTCTGGGCTCTTGAGGAACCGTTAAGAGGAATTAAAACCCTGAGGACTCTTGAGGCATCTTCAGGAGCACGGAGGAATCCGAAGGAATTTTCAATAATCCGGTGACGAGTAGGGGGTCCGGAGGAACCCAGGATATCATTCCAGAATCCAGATGAAGCCAGAAAAACTCCTGAGTGATCTTGAGGGAGCTCGAGAAATGCCAAACCCAGAGGGACCCTGAAGCATCCTAAGGAGCCTTGAAGAGACTTGGGGAACCTGAATAATCCTCAGGGGTGCAGAGGCATCCACAGACACCCTGAGATATCCTGAGGAAGCCTTCGGAAACCTGGCGGGTTTTGCGGGATCGGGAGGAATCCTGGATATAGTCCAGGAGCCATGAGGGACCTTGAGGAGTCCCAAGGATTCCGTAGGACAAGTCAGAGGTACTGGGGTCTCCTGAAGAAACTTCAGGAGCACGGAGGAATCCGAAGGAATTTTGCAGAATATTGTTGTATCAGGAGGAATTCTTGTGAATCGCATGGGGTCTTGAGGGATTCCGGAGAATGTTCCAGCAGCACGGAAACAAAGACGGGTCTTGCAGGATTTTGAGGAAGCCGGAGAAAAATTGCAGGACCTTGAGGGATTTTGATACATTTTGCGGAGTCTTGTGGGTCCTGCGGAACCCTGAGGAACCCAAAGTGCTCATGAGGAACCTTGAAGAATCCGGAGGAATCCTGAGTAATCTTGAAGCACCCCGAGGTATCCTGACGACCCTTTAGGAATCCAGACGAGGCCTGAGGAACCCTGAGGAACCGTAAGGCATTATCTTTTGAGGTTCCGAGGAAACCTACGGAATCAATCTGACGGGACCCCCAGGAATCCGAAAACCGGGGGAATCCGAAGGATTGCTGACAACTCTCCAGGGTTCCTGAGGCACCGTGGGGGTTCCTGAACAAAAGCTGTGCGACATCTGGAAGATTTTTGGGGAACCCTGGGAAAGCTTCAGGAATCCTGCTGAGTCCCAAAGAGACCTTAGGAATACGAAGGAGCCCTCAGGACCCCAGAGGAATCTTGAAGAACACGGAGGGATCTGGAGGAACCCTTGTGAATCCGAGGGCATTTTGAGGACTCTTCAGGAATCCCGAGGAATCTCGGTGAACGGTCAGGATTCATGAAGATCAGCGAAGTAGTCGGAGATGTCTTGTTCCCCGAACATCATGTGGTGTTTGGTTTTTGCTTTGAAGAGGCAGCGCCCCGTGTCCCTCGTCCTCATTATCCTCCTCCTCCTCCGTCTCCTCCTCCTCCTCCTCCTCCCGCTTCACCCTCCTTGCCTTTACCCTCCGCGTGCCTATGTTTCGGCACATCCCTAACACGCTTCGTGGTCCCTGACGGAGCTCCACCGAAGGTGCACGTGCCAGCTTTCGCATGCGCCCGCCGCGCCCATTATGTCACACTGACGGCCACAATGGTTGCGTTTGCATGCTCCCACCGCGCCCATCTTGGCACACCCCTCATTCGTGTCGTGGCCTCAGAGTGAGCCCCACCGACGGCCCCAGTGGCTGCGTTCTCATGCGCCCACCGCGCCCAGAACTGCACACCCTGCACACGTTTCGTGGTCCCATACGGGGCGCCACCGAAGGCGCCAGCGGCTGCGTTCGCATGTGCCCACCTCGCCCATTTGAGTACACCGTCTCACGCTTTGGGGCCCCATAGCGAGCTCCACAGGCGGCCTCAATGGCTGCGTTTGCATGCGCCCACCGCGCCCATTTTGGCACACCCCTCATTCCTTTCGCGCCCCCATAGGGGATTTCACTGAAAGCGCCAGCGGCTGCGTTTGCATGCGCCCACCGCGCCCATTTTGGCACACCCCTCATTCCTTTCGCGCCCCCATAGGGGATTTCACTGAAGGCGCCAGCGGCTGCG